GCAACTCATTTAAAGGGAAAGCGACCCATAGAAAAACTTGGCCTGTTGTTACCATGCTTTCTTGAAGGCTGGCTCCTAGCTTTATTTATAATCCCTCCACACCTGTGCTTAATTTTCTGCTTTACCAAATTTTGGCCAGGCTTCTTCGTTCCCTGACCCTCATTCCCACAACTATGCTGGTCAACTCTACAAAGTGGACCTTTTATCACTTTCCCTCCTCATATCTGGTTATGTTTGTGCAGCCTCCAGGTGTCAAAAATCGCCTTTGGTTGGGATATTTGGTTTGATGCAAACGGGAAGAAGCAGTGACAGGCAGAAAGGAGGGGTGTTGCATTTTTCACCATGATCAGGGTACACAAATAATCCTTCCCTAAGGTAAAGGGGCCCCTGACCATTAGGTCCAGTCGTGACTGACTCTGGGGTTGCGGCACTCATCTCGCTTTATTGGCCAAGGGAGCCGGTGTACAGCTTCCGGGTCATGTGGCCAACATGACTAAACTGCTTCTGGCAAACCAGAGCACTGCACGGAAATGCCATTTACCGTCCTGCCGGAGCGGTACCTATTTATCTACTTGCACTTTGACATGCTTTTGAACTGCTAGGTTGGCAGGAGCAGGGACCGAGCAACGGGAGCTCATCCCATCGCGGGGATTTGAACCGCTGACCTTCTGATTGGCAAGTTTAACCCACAGCGCCACCCGCGTCCCTTTGAGAATAAAGCCATATCATTAAACAAATACAAGCTCATACAATGCGGTTTCCAAGATAAAGAAGTGTTTTTGTTTTGCTTTTTTAATTGAAATAACTGTACAGAATTTGTGAAATTTGCCCAGAATATTTTTTTTAAAGTAAAAACAAACAAAAAGCCACAAGCAAGGACTTTGCAGGACAGAGGTTGAACAGATAATTTGGGGTGGGGTGAAAAGTGTGAAAAGACTTTTACTGTCAAGTAGCATCTACTGGAGAGCATGATGAACAGGGTGCATTACACAGAAGGACAAAGAAAGGGTGATTTAATCACAGGTTCTGGAAACTTGGATGGATGGGAAATGAGAAGAGGCGCAAGGCAAAAGAACACTTGTTTGGTCACATTAAAAAAATTGCCTTTAGTAATGAGCCACCATGGCTCTTCTGTTTAAAGTTTTACGTACTAGGGCCTACCTGCCTGGATCTTTTTTCCCTTTTCTTTAAAAATGTTAACATATCCAGATTCTTTCTAAGTTTATGACTTGGTGGTGGTTGCTCTTAGGAGACAGAGTTCCCTCCAAGCAATGAAGATGCCATCTTATTCCCTAAGGAGAGAATAGTTAATGGCTTCCCAGTAGGAAAAGCCACCAATTCATCAAAGAAAACAGAACCTTTTTATTAGGTAAAGGGTAAAGGGACCCCTGACCATTAGGTCCAGTCGTGACCGACTCTGGGGTTGCAGCACTCGCTTTAAATCTTTAAAGCTTTAAAATCTCGCTTTATTGGCCGAGGGAGCCGGCGTACAGCTTCCGGGTCATGTGGCCAGCATGACTAAGCCGCTTCTGGCGAACCAGAGCAGCGCACAGAAATGCCGTTTACCTTCCCGCCAGAGTGGTACCTATTTATCTACTTGCACTTCGTGCTTTCAAACTGCTAGGTTGGCAGGAGCTGGGACTGAGCAATGGGAGCTCACCCCGTCAAGGGGATTCAAACCGCTGACCTTCTAATCGGCGAGTCCTAGGCTCTGTGGTTTAACCCACAACGCCACCCGCGTCCCCCCAACCCCCCCTATATTTGCCCAGTTTGGAGACAAGCCAAAGAGAGAAGTTATTTGGGCCAAGACTAGGAGACATCACCTTCTCAAAGGTTGCTTTGTTTCCTGGCAAATGGGTCTTCAAAAAGCACCAACACAGATACAGCAGTCTCTGAAGTGATGATGAAAGCATTTTAACAGTCACTCTTCCAAAGTTTAATTGTTTTGTCATTTTCTAGAGCTGCTGAGGCAATGATGTTCTCCGTTGGATGGCAAGCTGTAGAGATCACAACATCTGTATGCCCTTGCAGCTTTTGTACAATCTCTTTTGTTTGGAGGTTCCAAATGTAAACCAGATTGTCCTCTGAACCAGACACGATCCACTTTCCACCAGTAACGGAGAAGTTGGCAAAGATGCAGTACTTCTCAGTCTTGTGGCCTGTGTAGGTCTTTAGGCACTTGCCTTTGCTGTAGTCCCAAAGCTTTAGAGTGTTGTCCAACGTTGCCGCTAGAATATATTTGCCATTGGGAGAGAACTTCACAAAAGACACAGGGGGATTGTCATCATCAACCAGTGTTTTCAAACACTGTCCTGATGCTGTATCCCAGATCCGGCAGAGGCCGTCATAGCTGCTGGATACTATCAAGGAGCCATCGCGGTTAAAGTGCACTGCTGAAACTGGGTCAGAATGGGCTGGCAAGGTTTTTAGGCACTTCCCGGTTTTGACTTCCCATATCCTCACACTCTCATCAAACGATCCTGAGACGACGAGGTTTGACTGCGGGTTGAAATTGCAGCAGAAGGCATAGTTGCTGTGCCCCTGCAGGGTTTTCAAGCAATTCCCCGAGCTCACATCCCAAATTTTGAGAGTTTTGTCATCTGAGGCAGATACAAGGAGGTTTGAATCGGATGACCAAGCGACATCAGAGATTTCCAGCTTGTGGCCAGATATGGTTTTCTCAAATTTGCCGTCATAGGCGCCCCAGATTTTTATAAGCGTATCGGCCGAAGAACTGGCCAGCCACTCCCCATTGGGACTGAATTTCACTGATGAGACAGCTTTTGTGTGTCCTGCCAGCGTGAATTTCAGGTCATAGTTTGGTTTTACAGGGGCAGGCTTGCCCTGATTGGTTGAAGAGGAGGTTGTTGATTGTGTTTTGGTTGATTCTGAATCTGGCTTCTTCTCTTCCGTTGCCATGGCTGTGAAAACTAGCAAGCCAGGATCTGGGCACTTCACAGGATGGAAGTGCAAGCCAGTTCAAAGGAGGTTGGGACAACTTCAAATTCTCTACTCAGCTATTAAGCTCACTGGCTGCAACCTTGGGGACCCAATCACTGCCTCTCAGACTGTTATGTACTGAACTTCTCACCCTGGGCCAACAGGAGAATACTGTAGATAGTTTTCACTCAGGTCCACATATGCAAATAAGGGATTGAAAGAGACGTTCAGTGATTGGATAGTTACAGAAAGTGGTTACTGTTGCGTTGTAGTGGAGCTCTGTATAAGCAGGCTGGCTGAACCCTTCAGTTCAGTTCTGTTCTGGCCTGTGAATAAACAAGAGCTGTTTGAAGAATCGCTGTGTCGTCTGATATGTTCACCCACAACTTAACACAGCCTGACCTATGTCACATGGTTGCTGTGCAGACAGAATAGGGAGGTGGGCGGAAAGAACCACATATACCACTTCGAGCTCCCTTAAAAGCACGGGTAGAGGTGCTGCTCTCACCGCCGCCGCCTTCATCTCAACGCTCGATGAGAAAAGCAGCAGCAGCAGCACCTCACTTGAGGAAGAGGGGATACCCAGGGCCTCACGCAGGTGCACTGAACGGACCCAGCTGGGAAAAAGTGACGCACACTCACGGCACCAATGCTTGCTGCAGCTTGAGGAAAACCAACGGTAGCAGCGGTGGCTTTGTGCAGGTCTTCTGTGTTTATACTAAAGCATGCCTTTAAAGCACCTTGGAAACACAGTTTCCTCCCCCATCCCCAAATTCTGGGCACTGTAGTTTGTTAAGGGTTACTGCAAATTGTAATTCTGTGAGGGCTAAACTACAGTACCCAGAATTCTTTGGTGGTGGAGAATGTGCTTTGGATGTGCTTTAAAGATGTAGTGTATAGGAAGCAGTTGTGTGACTTCCGTCTTTTGAAATGTCAGGGGGCTTGCCCCGTGGGTTATAATTGTAAAGTTCTGGAGAATCTAGACGAGATTCAGAATTTTCACTCCCTTAGGATTTTCCCAAACTTGTGCCACAGCTTTTCCATACCGGTGCAAACCAATGCTATGCTTGCTCACCTGGAGTTCCCACCCATTTCAACGGAACTTTCCCTCAGTCTAAAATCCCAGCCTTATTCTGCTGACTTGTCATGGCTTGACAAATGCGCCCACTGGCAGCACGAGCAGGTTTTCTTAGAAGTATGTTCAACGAACTCTCCTTAGCGAACAGTAAAAATAGGAAAAGGAGGAAGGAAATAAACAAGTGAAGGGCAAGTCAGTATAGAGAGAAAGGAAAGAGGAGGACGGGGAAGGAGAAAGAGATGCATGAAGCATGAAAGGAAAACCTCTGACAGTAAGAGCGGTTTCGCCAGTGGAACGGTTTTTAAGCAGAGGTTGTCTGACCATCTGTCATGGAGGCTTTAGCTGAGATTCCTGCATGGCAGGGGGTTGGGCTAGATAACCCTCGAGCATAGCTGTCAACCGTCCCTTATTTGGCGGGAAAGTCCCTTATCCCAGCGCCATGTCCCGCTGCTGTCCCTTTTTGATGATGTCCCTTAAATTTCCCGGGTTTCAAAGGAAGCAGCTCCTCTCCCTCCCTCCCTGCCGGCCAGGTAGGAGGGAGGCTCCAATTGTGTTGCTTGGCTGCGTTGCTCACCCAAAAAGGAGTCTAAGAACGAATGGGGGGGGTGGAGCTTGCATGCCTTGTGCCGATCAAATCGGCCATGTTGCCTGGGGACTCGCCTTTGCTCAGCGCTTCCCAGCGGAGAGGTGACGGTGGTTTTCCTTGCTGCATCCCCTTTGCCGGGTTGCTGCGCTGTGGGAACCACCGATTGAGGCTTTGTTTGGCTGCTGGCTAGGCTTTCTGCCTTTGGCTCAGAGGGGCTCAGAAGTCGAACAAACCTGTGCTTGCAAAATCCCTTATTTTGGCTGCTGATCCCTTATTTTCGAGGCTGCTGGTCCCTTATTTTCAAATCTATAAGTTGACAGCTATGCCCTCGAGGTCCCTTCCAGCTCTACAACCCTCTGATTCTATGACCTGCAATGAGAAACTAGGTCGACTTACCTAAATGTCCGCCCGTAGCCGCCAGGGGGAAGCGTGCTGAATCCATAAAGCACCCTATTTACAAAATGCCCATAAGGACGGGAGGAAGAAATAGCCAAATACGGATTTATAGGACGCTTGGCTCTAGGTCTTCTTTAGGGTATGATTTGCACCTTGGTTCCTTGTGATGCCAACTCCCTGAAGTCTTGCATTGTATAGATTCCTTGGAAGGCGTACCAGCCAAAATGCCCACTTTTGCCCATTTCGGGAAACGGAAAAAACACTGCCCAAAACTCCCCTCGGGCGGCGGAGTCGGCGGGGTGATCATTTAAGCGACGGAACCAAACACCTGCGCTTGCGCGTTCTGGCCGGACGGATGAGAGCGTGGCGACGCTTTACTCCGGAAGTGCCTTAGGATGCGGGACGGTTAACGGGAGCGGACCGGAAGTGGTGGTGGAGCGGGCTGCTCCGTCGGCCTTCTCGTTGCTCTGGGGAACAATGTGGCGGAGGAGCGTCCTCCTTCCCGGGAGTTTCTGTGCTGGCCTTCGCCCGGGAGCCCGGCTGCAGAGGGCCGTGCCTTGGGGCAGGTACGGCTGCGGCGGGTGGGAAGGCGACTCCCCACCTGGGAGGATGAAACTCCGCACTCCTTTCCCAAGGACGCCCAAATTTCTCCCTCAGGATATGTGCAGGGTCTCCTGACCCTCGGGGGTGGGGGGTGGGCAGCGCACAGAAATTGGAGGAGGGAGGAAAGCCCTGTTTAGGGAAGCATTTAATATTATATTTTAATATTTTACTGGAAGCCGCCCAGAGTGGCTGGGGAAACCCTGCCAGATGGGTGGGGTATTATTATTATTATTATTATTATTATTATTATTATTATTATTATTATTATTGTACAAGGGCAGCGTTTCCCAAACTCGGGTCTCCATCTGCTTTGGACTACAGTTCCCACCATCCCTGGTACTGCCAGATAGTGATCGTGGGAGTTGTAGTCCAGCAACAGCTGGAGATCCAAGTTTGGAAAACGCTGTACAGTACTCCTTCAGGTAGTGATAAAGCAGGATATCAAATCCAAACTCTTCTTCTTCTTCTACTAGTGGAGAAGGTCTTGCACTGCCTTCCACTACTACAGTGGTACCTCGGGTTACATACACTTCAGGTTACAGACGCTTCAGGTTACAGACTCCGCTAACCCAGAAATAGTACCTCGGGTTAAGAACTTCGCTTCGGGATGAGAACAGAAATCATGCTCTGGCGGCATGGTTGCAGCAGGAGGCCCCATTAGCTAAAGTGGTGCTTCAGATTAAGAACAGTTTCAGGTTAAGTACGGACCTCCAGAACGAATTAAGTACTTAACCTGAGGTAGCACTGTACAAGCATTCAGATACACGTCTCTCCCAGCTCCATACTTTTGGTGAGGGAAATGCAGCAAACATGCCCACCACTGTAAAATGTGTGCTGGCCTTCAGAGAGTTAGGTAAAGGGACCCCTGACCATTAGGTCCAGTCATGGCTGATTCTGGAGTTGCGGTGCTCATCTCGCTTTATTGGCCAAGGGAGCCGGCATACAGCTTCTGGGTCATGTGGTCAGCATGACCAAGCCGCTTCTGGCGAACCAGAGCAGCGCACAGAAACGCCATTTACCTTCCTGCCGGAGCGGTAGCTATTTATCTACTTGCACTTTGAGGTGCTTTCGAACTGCTAGGTGGGCAGGAGCAGGGACCGAGCAACGGGAGCTCACCCCATCACGGGGATACAAACCGCCAACCTTCTGATCTGCAAGTCCTAGGCTCTTTTGTTTAACCCACAGCGCCACCCGCGTCCCAATAATAATAATAAAGATGATGATGTTGTTGTACAAGGGCAGCGTTTCCCAAACTCGGGTCTCCATCTGCTTTGGACTACAGTTCCCATCATCCCTGGTACTGCCAGATAGTGATTGTGGGAGTTGTAGTCCAGCAACAGCTGGAGATCCAAGTTTGAGAAACACTGTACAGTACTCCTTCAGGTAGTGATAAAGCGGGATATCAAATCCAAACTCTTCTACTACTAGTGGAGAAGGTCTTGCACTGCCTTCCACTACTAATGTGTTGGATTGGTTGAATCTAGGCCTCAAGCACTGCAGTCTTGTACATGGTGCTACCATGTCTTCATTTGCCATGGGAATTAGGTTGTACAACAGAATTTCTGAGTGGCCAATATTTTATTTGCTTGTTAATTATGCTGTTTTAAATGTGCGTTCTGCTGTTGGCCTGCTTTGTAATGATTTATTTTGAAATCTTCAAGATAAAATATTTTAATTTCCTGTTAATTGTGTTGCTTTATATTTGACTTTCTTCAGTAATGTTTTATTCCGTGTTGTTTTATTTGATACTTTAATTTAGGTTGTAAACCCTTTCATATTAAAAATATAAAGTGGTATAGAAATGAGTAATAATAATAATCCCCACTTTTCATATCATTTTAGTAAGACGCACAAGTACTTAGGCACCAGCCCTGTTTTGTGTACCAAAAAAGATGACCCTACTCCTCCAGTCAATATCAAAGATACAGAGACTTCACCAAATCAGGAGAAGAAACAGCAAGCAACCACAAAGAAGAATTTGCTAAATATCATTAGTGAAATGAAAGTAGAAATCAGTACAAAGAAGAAGTTCCAGATGTTGAAAGCCCAGAAGATTAAGGATCAAACAACCAACTTGCCAGAAAATATGGAGAGTACAAGTAGCATGTTCCAGAAAGCTACAGAAGACAAAGCTAAGAGGTAAATCTCTGGATGCGTGTCTCTCATTCTTTTTGTTCATAACTATCATGGATTTTGGAAAGTACATTCATTCATTGGGAGGTGTAGCTAAGAATGTTATCAACTCTTAGAGAAAAATATGGAATGCTTGATAAAAGGGCAACAATAGACATGAGTTCTGTCCCTTTCAGTCCGACTCTTCGTCTTCTTGATGTCTTCTGCTTCTGTTAGGTCCTTACCACTTTTGTCCTTTATTATGGTAATCTTTGTACGAAATGTTCCTTTCATATCTCCAATTTTCTTGAACAGATCTCTGGTTCTTCCCATTCTGTTGTTTTCCTCTATTTCTTTGCATTGCTCGTTTAAGAAGGCCTTCTTGTCTCTCCTTGCTATTTTTTGGAAATCTGCATTCGATTTCCTGTATCTTTCACTTTCTCCCTCGCATTTTCCTTGCCTTCTCTCCCCCGCTATTTGTAAGGCCTTGTTGGACAGCCACTTTGCTTTCTTGCATTTCCTTTTCATTGGGATGGTTTTCGTTGCTGCCTCTTGTATAATGTTACGAGCCTCCATCCATAGTTCTTCAGGCACTCTGTCCACCAAATCTAAATCCTTAAACCTGTTCCTCACTTCCACTGTGTATTCATAAGGGATTTGTTTTAGATTGTATCTTACCGGCTTACTAAAAGCTAAGAAGTGGGCTTCTCCCACATTACCTCAGCAGTGCAGAAAGGAGCTATCCCAGTTAAGCTCTTCTGTTGTTGGATTCTCAACATCCATCAACCCCAGCCAGCATAGCCAATAGTCAGGGATGCTGGGTGTTGCAGCCAGCAGTATCTGGAAGGTTGCAGGTTCCCTACTCCTGGCCTAGGGGGATCATGTTGATATTTTAGCAGGTAGTTACAAACTTGAGTCCACAAAACATGCTTTCTTCTACTTTATTAGCCGTATAACAATAAGCAGTATTAGAAAGCATGTAGTAATTTTACAGTAGCTTTTCTAACTGTGTCTATTTTCATATGAATATAATGTGGGAAACAATGAGCAAAGAAAAAATAGTACTTGTTTCAGCCCAGTATACCTGAAGGAGCATCTCCACCCCCATCGTTCTGCCCGGACACTGAGGTCCAGCTCCGAGGGCCTTCTGGCGGTTCCCTCACTGCGAGATGTGAGGTTACAGGGAACCAGGCAGAGGGCCTTCTCGGTGGAACGCCTTCCCATCAGATGTCAAGGAAATAAGCAACTATCTGACTTTTAGAAGCCATCTGAAGGCAGCCCTGTTTAGGGAAGTTTTTAATATTTTGATGTTTTATTCTGTTTTTAATCTGTTGGGAGCTGCCCAGAGTAGCTGGGGAAACCCAGCCAGATGGGTGGGGTATAAATAATAAATAATAATAATTGTTGTTGTTGTATTCCAGCAGTGAAACGCTCAATCCAGAGCTGGTGGCAGCAGCCTCTGCTGTTGCATCGGCCCTCCCTTTTGACAGGAAGAGGACAGTTTCAGAATTGGTTCAGCTACTGAAAAGGCAGAAGGAAGTCACTGATGCACGTAAAAGCGAAGAAGTAACTGACATAAGGTTTGCAAACTACATGCTGTTCCCAATAATATACTGTGATATTTGTCACACTGTTGGTCAAAAAATAAAGTGAAGGAGGTTGCTGGTACAGTGGTACCTCGGGTTAAGTACTTAATTCATTCCGGAGGTCTGTTCTTAACCTGAAACTGTTCTTAACCTGAAGCACCACTTTAGCTAATGGTGCCTCCTGCTGCTGCCGCGCCGCCGGAGCACGATTTCTGTTCTCATCCTGAAGCAAAGTTCTTAACCTGAAGCTCTATTTCTGGGTTAGTGGAGTCTGTAACCTGAAGCGTATGTAACCTGAAGCTTATATAACCCAAGGTACCACTGTATTTGCTTTGTTTTGCTTTAAAATGTGCACCCTGCTTTTGGAGATGAAGGACTATAAATGGCTTTATACACATAATTTTTTGGTTTTATTATGATGCTTTGAATAGGTTAAGGTAAAGGACCCCTGGATGGTTAAATCCAGTCAAATTTGACTATGAGGTGTGGTGTTCATCTCCGCTTTCAGGCCGAGGGAGTCGGTGTTTGTCCACTGACAGCTTTTCCGGGTCATGTGGCCAGAATGACTAAATCGTTTCTGGCACAACGGTATACCATGATGAGTGCCGGAGTGCACAGAAATGCTGCTTACCTTCCCGCCACAGCAGTTCCTATTTATTTACTTGCGCTGGTATGCTTTCGAACTGCTAGGTTGGCAGGAGCTGGGACAAAGCAACAGGAGCTCATTCCGTCATGCAGATTTGAACTGCTTACCTTACAATCGGCACGCTCAAGAGGCTCAGTGGTTTAGACTACAGCACCACCTGTGTCCCTAATGCTTTGAATACACAATAAACATCTTATTTTTTTGTTTTACCTATTCAAGAGAAGCAACATTTAAACACAAATTTATGGGCTAGCTTTGTCAGTGTTTCAAAACCATGGCTGCTTCCTGTCTTAAGTGTAACTGTCGCAAGCATGATGTTTGTGAATTGCCATATCACAATCATGATTCACAGCCATTAGTTA